CAACAAATTTCGGAGATTTCGAGCAACTTCACACTCCATATCAATGTTGAAATTTTGATATTTCAGCTGTTATGATATACTCAATCTGCCCCGACTTATGCTCTCCCACCTCACTCTAAAACGTTTTCTTCCAACAACAAGAGCGATCGGATTTTCATCCATCGCCTACTTAGCTCTTTTGCTTCCCAATAATCATATACCACGTTTCTACAATTCCAAATGTATCTAGGCCATGATAGCTTTCTGATTCTTTTATTGATGATTGCGTTAGAGTCTCTTGAATGCTCATTCTTAAAACCAAATTAGATGTAAAAGCAATGTGCTCCCGTATTCCCATGTATGATTCACAATTAGTTTAGTGCCAAAATTAAAAGACTCTGATCCAATAACGCATAGAACTACTTTAACCAAACTCTATATCTATTTTTCAAAAAAAAGATATAAATTATTTGTAAATCCTCATAGTAATACTTTGAAAAACCGAGTAGTAGAGAAGAAGAATGCTCATTTGTTAAGCACAATTTGCGCCTCTCTTTTCACCAAAATGTTCCCAAAATCTACTACGGGAAAGCGATTCTTAACTATTTTAGTTTATCCCAATCTAAAACTAGCAAATAACCTCATCTCAAGAGCCTTTGGGATGCATTGCTAAAGAGAAGTTAGATTCAAAGGCTATTAAGTGTATATTAGTCAATTATTCACCAATTTTTAGAAGGGTGACAAGTTGTTATCATTCACCTAATAAAAAAATGTCTTTATTGATGTCACTTTTGATGAGAAAAAAATTCCATTTCACTTTACCCTATCTTTAAGGGGAGTCTTTGACATCCACTTAAGATAATGACAGAAATTTGTTTTTACTTGACTTCTCTACCACATGCAGACTCACCTCAGTATGTGTCAACATCCTCACCCTTCACACCAGACTTGTGATAGATAATAACTAACTTTGTGAATCAATCATGTTTATGAGCATATATTCAAGACAAAGCAACCTAATTTTAATCCAATACAAGTTCAAAACTCAACACTAAATCCTAAGGATAAAAGTAAAATCAAGTCTCGAAAACTTTCTCCTCAACTTGAATACAATCATGATTCTCTTATTTCCGGAAAGGTACAAGAGACCACACTATGAGAGAACAAATGCAGGTATTGAAGAAGAACCTAGGACATTGTTGAGCTACTATTAGGAAAGAAGTTTGTGGAGCGCGAGTGTGTGTCTATAGTGTAGTAGAGGTCGATGGCTCCCCAGAGAGGTACAA